ATTTAATTCTCTCTCTTTACGATAAGCAAGAAGCTCAGAATCTAAAGTGGAAGACATATGTACTAACAAGTGAAACAACATAATGTGATATATACAAAAATAGATATATATGTTTCCAAAAAAGTACAAAGAAGCATCCTGTGTGAAGCAACACAGGAGGGTGATGGTGTATCAGGGCTGTGCTGGAAACTGGGCGTTTGTCAATTGGACAAGGGAAGGAAAGGAGATGCAAGAAAGGAGCTAGACTGTGTGAAGAAAGGAAAGCGTGAAGTGGTACACGGTTGGTGAGAAGCCATGGACAGCTGAGCCTGCTGGAGCACAAATGAGAGAGGACAGTGGCCGATCACGACACTGAGAAACAGGCAGGTGTGGAGGGTCTTAGAGCTGCGCTAAAGTGCTGGGGCTTTATCAAGTAAACAGTGCCGACCTCTTGAAAGTTTCTAAGTATAGAAGGTCTGATTCTCCTCTTAGAAGAATGACTCTAATGGTATGTTTAGGGAACAAGTAATCAGAAGAGAGATTACAGATTAGGAGCAAGTTAAATGGGAACCTTCTGGGAGCATCTGTCTACAAGGAGCACTAAAATATCATTGAACATGTAATGAAATCAAGAAAATAATATTTACCAAAACTTACATATGTGAGTGGAAGTAATACAAGACCACAGACTCTAGTCAGTCTTGAATCAGACTGCTTTGGTTTGAATCCCACTGAGCATGTTCCTTCAGGGTAAGGAGGACCAGGGTCGCCACAGGAGAAAAAAGGGTGAACAAATAAGCTTCATGGAGAAGATGAACATCTTACAGCATCTCAAATATAATTAGGTACACTTGATATACGCATTTCCACTCAATACTTCCTCCTCTAGTCTTAAAAAATAGTATGACATTCATTCAGTTGTTAAAGCAAAACCTTAAAAATCCTATTTAGTTCTCCTATATACCAAGCTGCAAAATTGGACCCAATTCTTCATTCTCTGTGTCCATGACTTTGCTGTGTAACACTGTAGTTCTCACTAAAGACTAAAAAGGGAGACACTATTTTCACAGCCCTTGAAGTATGACTTGTTTTTGCCAACTCAAGCTAGAGGAATTGGCAGTTTATCAGTTCTGAGCCTAGTCCTTACTTGGCCTTTCGTGTTTCTACTTGCTCTCTCTATCATCTCTTCCATTGCTAGAAGGCTATGCCCAGATCACCCTCCTAGGCAGGAGACATACATAGTAAAGCCAAGTTGCCCTGCTCATCCCAGCTGAGACCCAGGTCAGCCAACAGCCAGGCAAAGTCCAGTTATGTGAGCAAGTCCAGCCAATATAAACCAAGGACACTGAGGTCTGGTGTTCAGTTTTTCTGCCACATATTAGCATTAGATATATGGTATGTCCCATTACACCATATTCTTACATTCCACACATATCAATTATATACGGGTAAAATCTTGTACTTCTACTACAAAACAGGTCTCAAGCCCATCCACTTTTTTCCATCTGTATTACTCCACTCTAGTCTACAAACTGTCATCACCTCAATGAACTATTGTTTTATCTGCTTCCACTTCAGACACTTATAATGCATTCTGGAAATATCAAAGAGAATGATTTTTTTCCAAACTATAAATCAAATCACCTCAGTCATTTCCCTGTTTAAAACACTCTAATAAGTTTTCATTGCTCTCAAAATACAATTCAAACTCTTCACCATGACCTCTTATAAGCCCTGCACAGTCTGCCAAATACCAGGGTGAAAAGTAGCTTGTATTATACCCTCAAAAATGGTTTCTCCAAAGAATGTGGATTCAGTTCCTATTAAATCTCTGCTTGAAGAAAGGTGTTTTACTGTTTCATGAAATATTATTTTAGTAAATGTACCAAAATCTATCAAAATGAAACAGTTTCTTTGAAAGACACAGAAATTGAACATGAAGATCTGATTTCACCATCTAACAAAAATTAAGTGGAGAATAAGAGAAGAGGATGAAAAAGAAGTAACAATACATTACATGTGTAACACTGAAAGGACAGAAAGATACAGTTAGACCTGAAAAAAAATATCTACATTTGGGGCTTTTGGAGCCAAGAAGTCAAAATGATGCTTTGGAAAGTATCTCTGACTTCATACCAACAGGATAGTCGGGGGAAATCGGTTTCCCCTGAAGTAGGAGGTATAGAGGGAAGATCAGACATGAAATCAAACTCCCTGAGAATAAACATTGGTAGGTATTAATGTTTGTATGGAGTACATCTGGCTAAAAAAATACTTTTGTGTTTTATCTGTTTTTATACATGAAGAACTCAGGGTTCTGTGAGGTTCGGTGCACAGTAATTAGTTTTCATCCTGATTTTAATCAAGTATACTAAATTGATGATTCACAAGATTTGAGTCTATAAGTCTTCCAAGAATGGAACATAATTTACATTTTTAATACAAATAGCCCTCAAGCATCTGACTTCTAGAGTTGAAGTAGGTTGAAAAATAAAGGCTTCCTAAGATGCAAAACAAAGTGCAAAATAACTAAAATCAGTTTCTATTTTTAAACAACATGGCTACAGCCCCAGAATACTGAGGGCAGCATGGGATCACCTGGTGTGGTCAAGGGCACCAGAAAGATGGGCTTTCATCTCCCAGGAAGTGTTCTTCAATATAAAATGCAGTTTGTTAATGCTTCATCACTTAACTGTTGTAGGTGTTCTGACACATGGCTGCCACAAAGCCTTCTCCTTTGGCCCCTTATAATGGGATGTGAAAGTGAAGAAAGGTATATGTCCTTGAGTTCCTGGAATTTCTCTGAACTGGCAGTGGACTGGTATCTCAGCATTGCCCATAACTCTATTCAAGAAGAAGAGACCCACCTACAAAAATGAAATGCATCAGAAGTGGTACAGGTGATAGAAAGTCTTCAAACATGTGCCTCCATACTGCCTGCTCTACCTTCTCGCTCTCTGCTTTCTTCAAGAGGAGGGTCCTCTCCATCTTTACTGTGTCCACACCCCACTCACCCTTCACATCCCAACTCATTCCACTTCTCTATGAAGACTTCAAACTATTATAACTCTGATCTCATTTTTTAATAAATACATCAAAATCAGAATTCATTCTTTCTGCATCACTGAAACATCACACACACACACACACTCACATAGTATGTGCTGTCTCAATGAATTGTACCATATTTCAAGCCAGAAACCTAGCAGTCACCCTCTCCCCACCTTCTATTTCCTCCATGCATTCACCAAGCATGAAGTTTGATCAGTCATTCTCTGAGATATCTTTTCAGTCTGACCGTTCATATCCATCCCCAACACACTCCCCTACCTTCACTTGTTTAGTCTCTCTCTAATTTACCTTGCCCAAATTCCCATTCCAGCATATTATCCATGATGTAATCAATGCATCTTAATCAATACAGTCTCAATAAAATACAAATCACATTGTGTCACTTTGGGATAAAATAGTCCAGTGACTACCTCTGTTCTTGTGATATGGGCCTTGATTTATTTACAGGCTCAGAAATATCTGGCTTATGATTATTTCCAGTCCAGCTTCATATTTTGCCATTTCCCAAATCATGCTCACTTCTAGACTTCTGTAAATTGTTCAGCAAGCTGTGCCTGATTACTCTTTTCCCTGCCCTTCACACATTCTTCCTATACCAGCTTTAGATACTTCTTCAAAAATCCTTCTGGGACCTCCATATGCCAAATCAGATGTTCACTCTATGTGATGCCACAGTATCCTGTATTACCTTCATTTTATAGAGACGAAGCCCTTAGTTGCAAACAATGAAACCCACTCTAGTCAATCAATGCAGCACACAAGTATTTTAAATACTAGGTAGCTAACAAAATTCCTGGGATGGCTAAAGGATGGGATTTGGAGACTCCCAGGCTAGTGATAATGCTCCAAGCTCCACTATATAGTTGCTCCAGTGGGAATAATCTGACTGCTGGGGATGGGCAGACATGGCTAATGCTGGGCACTGGAAGCCACCGCTAGGACCTCTGCCCCTGCCTCTGATTGGTGGAGCCCAGGTTACATGCCTGAATCCTAGCTGCAAGGCAGACTGGGAAAGTAAGCTCCTTTCTTCTACCTTGGGGAGAGTTCAGATTAATTGTTATACAATTTTGGAGAAGAGGTCTAGGGTAAGTAGCCACAACCACTTATTAATTTTAAAATGGTTAATGAGTTTCTCAAAAAATATTAAACTTGTCAGCCAGTATAGTGTATGTCTTATCTGTGTCCAGGGACTCTTTTGGGCAGTACCATGTCTGTGCTGACAAATGACTGAGGCTATGGAAATAGGAATTTAAATAGTTTGTATTTTATTGAACTATTTCAGTTCAATGAACTGGAAGGTGAGGTAGGGAGCAAGCAAGCATTAGTTACAAGCAAGGATATGAAAAAGTGTTTCATCTTCAGCAAATCAAAAGGACATTACTAAAATCCTCAGCCTGGTTAGAACTGGGATGCTGAATGGGGTCTGTTAGGTGACCAAAGAGGGCTGGAGGTGCTTCTGTTAGGTGACCAAAGAGGGCAGTGTGTTTCCATAACACTGCATACTTCTCCAGCCACATATTTATAAAACTGTACTGAATACTTTGTTCGTTTCCTGCTATCCTTGTAGAGTTACAAGATCTGTGAAGACAGAGACGGTACCCATGCCTGCTCGGCCCATAGATGATGTGTAATAGATGTTTTAAAAAATGAGTGAATGAATTAAGGTGAAGATGGAGGCACAGGGGTGCCAGAAAATGGTGCCAGGTTCCAGTGGGGTGACCCGGATCAGTTCAAGCCAGATCCTAGCCATTCCCACAAAGCTCCTTTTTTTCTAATCCACTTCTTATTCTCTTTGGGTTGGATTGAGGTCTCTGGTAAACAGCCAAAAAACTGTTATGGGAACAGCAAGAACAAATAATGCTCAAGCATCAGGAGGATCTGAGTGCTGAAAGCCACTTCTGTTCCCCCTTCCCTCGGCTGAGGGGGTGAGAAAGTATTCCCAAAGCCATGACTCCTTTTAGGGGGATTTAGAAGGCGTATAAAGGCTGCTGGCCGAGAACTTCCTTCTTCATTCTACAGCTGGTGCCAGAACTCTCAATCCTCCACTGAGAGAAAATGTCCATCCAGTGAGTATCTCTAGGAGTTTTTTTTTAAATGCCTTAATGGGTTCATGGTAAACAGGCTATTTCAAGAGCTCCCGAAGAGGACTGATGACCTGTGTAAAGAAAGCTTTGGGTCTTGGTAGGGGAAGTTTCTTCCTATGTACATATTGAAGCAAATATCTAGAATTTAGGCCTATGTTCAGTGGGAGTTCTGTGACTTAGAATGGGCCTTGGAAGCAGTTACGAGCAGGAACATTTCAATGAAGCAGATATGGGTTGTACATCTCTCCCAGCCATTTCCTAGCTATATGATCTTGAGCAAATTACTTAAATGTTCAAAGTCTAGGTTTTTCCTTATGTAGAATAAGATAGTACTTAACCTATGGTGGTGGTGTGAGATTTAAATGAACCAATAGCATGCCAAGTTCTTTTTATGGTGTGGGCACATAGTAAATGCTTAATAAAAGATAACTATCCTAATTAGGAAGTCTGGGCAGAAGTCTCAGTCTAAAAAGTTATAAAATGGAGCCAAAGTAAGGAGACAGGAAATAAGCAAAAATATGAAACTTGAATCTTCTGGTCTATTTTTGAAAAGTACTATAGCTCTTAAAGATTGATGAAGAAATGAGAAGATAGGAAGAAATAATGGTATAATATGGGTGAATAACAAAAGGTGAGGTCCGACCCCAAAAGCTGTGGTCTCCCAACTCATGGGGGCAGGAGGTTGAGGGAGGAGACTGAGGCAAGACAATCAATGTGCCCATAGGCTGAGAACAGCAACAGTCATAACCGGGGTAATTCCGTGGGAAGGACTCTGTTAGAGAGATAAGTGAGAGCTACTGCATTATTAGTTGATTTGTCTTCAGAAAGATGGGAAAACTGCAGAGGGCAAGATTAAGTCCACTTTGGCATTAAAAGGGAGGTCATTTGCCCTGATATCAAAGGAGGGGCGAGGGCCAGGCCTCCCTTGCAAACCTGAGTACGTTTCTATCCCCACAAGCTCTGTGTGCTCCCAGCCAGGCCTAGACTGGCAGTGGGACATTGGGATTGAGCCAGAGAGTGCCTTTTTTCCTGGAGTTCTGCCTCTGCCTCCGTGGGGTTTTTTTTAGTCTCTACATGGGCTTCTTCCCCGTTATGCCACCATTTCAGAGTGGAGCACCCTGCTGGTGGTTACAAGAAACTGTTCGAAACTGTGGAGGAACTGCCCTCGCCACTCACAGCGCATGTGACAGGTTGGTCCTCCTGACCTTGAATTCATCCTCTCTTTTGGTGAGACCTCCCTTCTCTGGCTTCTTCTTCATTGGCACCTTTCAGTCCTGACTCCCTCTGTGGGCTACAGAGAGGGGAATCTGGAGGCTTGGGCTTTTTACACCAAGAATACCCTTTCCTTTCCCTTACCTTTTATCTCTCCAGTGTAGAAAAATCTTACCCAACTGGAATTTCTTGAGGATGGGGACTACACCTTTGTTATCTTTAAGCAGTCAGTGCCTAGCTCAGTGACTTGGTACATAGTAAATGCCATAAAATGTCTGTTCCATCATTGTCTGGATAATATTACTGAGAAGCATCTAGAAATATAACAATAAAGGCTGGTTTTCATGCCCATTATATGGGGAAAGTCTTGGTTCTGGAGTCAGGCAGATGTAGGGACAAATTGCAGCTCTGTTATACTAGCTGTGAATCCTACAAGTCACCTATACTTTCTGAGCCTCAATTCCTTCACCTACCAAAAACCAAATCTTACCTTATGAGGACATGAAGATTAAATGAGATAATGTAAATTTAAAAATTCACATAGTGTGTGACACAAAGTGATCAATAAATGGTAGTTGTTATTACTATTGCTTTCATTACCCAAAGACACCATATGCCCGATACAGCATCCTTGCTTAGATATGCTGTTGTAGGAAGAATAAAAGCCTAGGCCAGTCTCTTTCTTCCCAGTTCTTCTTCTGCAAAATAGAAGGGATGAGCCTAGTGCTTTCTCAACTAGATTCTGACACTAACCATCTAGGTTCTAGCAATCAAATTAATGTGCCTTTTAGCTAAACCATGCTTTCTTAATGTTTAGATCAGAAATATAAATCTGTATCAAGTGGACTGGTGATATTCAGCTTTAGGAAATAATCCATTTTTAAGAAATTGGTAAGGATTAAGCAAACACTGCCAAACACTGCACTTTCCAAAGGATCGAGGCCACACATGTAACTGCTTAACTGAAAGGCCTTAAGGACCTGTACTCCCCTCATATTGCACATGAGGACACTGAGGCCCAGAGATGGCATATGACAAATCCTGAACCAGAATCCAGGTCTTTGGCACCCAGCCCTGTGTACTTTCTACTACAGTAGGTTAACCTTCATCTGGAAAGTAACCCGTATCATTCAAAGAAGATAGCTCTAGATTTTTAAAACCAGTATTGTTTCATTTAAATGATATCTTCTATAGACACATCTATTTTTAGTGCCATGATCCTTGCTCCTGATCTATCCGTCATACCCCTCACTCCATAAAATACATCAAGAAATTTAAAATTATTCTTAAAAATGAGATGACATTGAGGCAGATGTACTGGTATCTGAGGAAATCTGTTAGGCGGGGAATCCCATTGCCCTCCAGATGCTTTTCCCTGTCTCCTTTCAACTTTTTATCCAAACTCACATGTTGCCACGTTTTTCACCACATGGTCTCCAAGTGAAAGGGGAGTCAAGTTGGCAGCAATTTTCTAAACACTGCCCAGTGTGGGAGCTGGTCATAAAAATCACTGCCAGCTGAATACAGAAGAGGCCACCTAACTGGGCTGCTATCATGCTCACCGTGCCCTACCATGGGCAGGGCTAAGAAGCCATGCTCTGTCTCACCTTCCTCACAGGCAGGATCCCCCTCTGGCTCACTGGCAGTCTCCTTCGATGTGGGCCAGGACTCTTTGAAGTTGGATCTGAGCCATTTTACCATCTGTTTGATGGGCAAGCCCTCCTGCACAAGTTCGACTTCAAGGAAGGACATGTCACATACCATAGAAGGTAAAGGAATGCTAGGTCCCACTCTTCCTCCTAGGGGTGGGACTTAGCTCAGCCCCTCTTCCCAAGTGCTAAGTGCTTCTCAATCTACTGAATCCAAGAGGGGGCTTATATATTCACTTGCTCTCAGAATCCACCTGGGCCAGTGCATCTATGTGAACACCTGGGAGATGTGCTATGGGAGAAAGAAGAAGCTAAGGACTAAGGCTTTGGGGTCCAACATGCCTGGCTTCAAATCCTATATCTACTTAACACCATTTGCCTAGGTGGGCAAGGTGGGAAACCTTTGGCAAGTTTGATGTTCATCTCTAATGCTTGGTTTTGTCATCCCTAAAATGGGAAATAATGGAACCTATTTCAGTGCTCATTACAAGGAATAAATGAGAAAGCAGTGCCTAAAATGTGGGAAGAATTCAGTAATTATTAATATTATTATTATTACTATTAAACCATTGGCTCTCTTGTCTCCTTTCTTTTCTTATAATCAGAAAGATCACTTCTGACTATAAGGAAAGAGAGAAAGGTGCCACAAAGGAGGGAAGGACCACATATACCATAGTGATATAAGAAAGAAAAGTTTTCTAAAAACAGGAGATTGTTGCTAGAAGGCTTGAAGGCCTAAGCCACCACTCTGGAGAGTATCCATTGACACCACAGTAAGTAGTTTGTGTATGCTTTAATATTCAGGCCTGTGCATGGCTTCGGTCATACCACTGATGTCAGGCATTCTGAAGAGACTCAAAAGGGAGAGTAAGTGGAGGCTTGAAGTGAGATAAGCTGGACTGTCATAGAAGAGAAACAGATCAGGTCAAGCAAACATTGAGATCATGAAAGCATATTCTGGAGGTCAGACAAAGCCTTCCTAAGCCTTCTTAAAGATGTTGGTACATTTTCCACTTCATGACTTTGTTTCTTCAACTATGAAATTGCAAACACTTATTAGTGGATTGGAAGAAGTACAAATCAGACTTTAATTGGCTCTCCACATGAGAAATTCTAGGCAATGTGTCATGTGGTCTGGGATATGGTTCTGGAAGTCTGCCTGTGCAAGTGACTGGATTCAAGAATATCTACTTTTAAAAGTAGTGAAATACACTTTAAAAGGGAAGAAAAACCACAAGATGGACATAAGAGAGATGAAAAGAATATAATTCAGCACACCACATTCTGTATTTCCCTGCCAAAGGTATGTTAATGGGTTATAGGCTACAGGAAGTCAGAGGTCCTATGTGAACTAACCATGGGGACTATGTGGTTTCATATGGAAAATGCATGTTTTTGGCTCTGGGAGATTTGATTTCCAATCCAGCTCAGCCACACATGTCCATCACTTCTCTGAGCCTCAATTTCCTCAGCTGTCACCAGGAGGTTTATAAGACATAAATTTAAGCTCATGGCACATTGTCTCTTATTGATCACCCAGAGAAAGCAACCTGACAATACTAGTCATTCTTCATGTTGTGGATGTATGAATCTGACCCACTTAGGGAAATCAGAATGGTCATTCTAAGTCCCACATGGACTGCACTGATTTCCCTGCCTATGTCTCTTTCCCGTGTCTCAATGTCCTTCAGGTTCATCCGCACTGATGCTTACGTACGGGCAATGACTGAGAAAAGGATCGTCATAACAGAATTTGGCACCTGTGCTTTCCCAGATCCCTGCAAGAATATATTTTCCAGGTTACTGAAACCCAACTGCATGTTATCAAAGACATTTTACATTAGCCCTTTTTCTCTCATGGCTTGAAAATCACTGGACTGAAAAATCCATTTGCTTCTACAGGTTTTTTTCTTACTTCCGAGGAATAGAGGTTACTGACAATGCCCTTGTTAATGTCTACCCAGTGGGGGAAGATTACTACGCCTGCACAGAGACCAACTTCATTACAAAGATTAATCCCGAGACCTTGGAAACAATTAAGCAGGTAGGATACAGTGCTCAGGTGACATTGCTCAAGAATAGAATTTACAACTTAGAATTGAATCAACTGTGCAATTTGGTGGAAAGAACATGAGAGCCTTAGATTAAGTTTCAAAGTCTTGCTTTGTCATCTGCTATTAGCTATGTGACATAAGTCAAACTTTGTTTCTTAATCTATGAAATTTAAGCATTTATTATTTGGATTGGAGGAAAACCTTATAAAATGCATAACATATTCATTCATTCATTTGTAATGCAAATATTGTTTGAGTCCCTTCCATGTATCAGAACTCATGCTACATGTAAGGGATAGATCAATGGGTAAGACAACATAGTCCCTGTCCTTAATGGCTTTTATAGGCAAGCTTGGATATGGCACATGTTGGGTGCTCAAAAAATTGTAGCTAATAATATTGGAAACCCTGCAGTTCATGGTTCTAGGTAAGTCTGTTGCATCAATTTGTCCATTCTTATAGACTTACTAAAATAAAGCTATATTTAAAATGAAAAAACATAGAGAAAAATATCAACAATTTTAGAAAGTGGCAAATTTTACTCAGAACTGAGACAGTCTCAATGTACTGTTGAGTAAAGTATATCCACACTTTCAGCCAATATTTATTAAGGTGTAGTTATTTGCGAGGCACTGTTCTTATTTTTCAGAAGCTTAACATTCTGATGGAGAAATCAAATAAATACACAGCTTAACTAAAATAGCACACAGAATGTGATGAGTCCTTTAGGAGAAGGAAAACCTTCCATAAAAGCCCAGAGAAGAGATAACTTCTAGCAATAGTTGGGGCATGTGAGGTGGGACAGATCAAGGAAGGAAAAAAATAAAAAGACTTACATTTGAGTTAGAAATTAAAGGAGAAGCATAACTTCAGTGAATATGAAGAAAGGACATTTCAGATAAAGGGAGTAACATGATCAAAGTTATAGGGAAGGGAAGATAGAGGATGTGTTCATGGAAACTAAATAATTCCTTTGGCTAGATTTGCAGTATTCCTTAAAGGAGATGCTAACGGCAGTGGCCGGAGGTGATTCGTCACTGTGGAGACTGTCCCACACATTGCAGAGGTTTGGCATCCCTGGTCCCATCTGCTAAAATCAGTCATGTCCTCAGTCTTTGTACAAACCCCAAATGCTCTCTCTCCATTTCTAGCCCTCCCCTAGGGGACAGTATCACTCCCAGTTGAGAACTAGTGATCTAGAACATACAATGGCAAGGGGAATAGCGGGACACAGGCAGAGTGGGACTAAAATTTGAGTAATGGGCAAAAATTTGGACTAAGCTATCTAGCTAATGGGAAGCTTTTCCTCAGAGAAGTGAATACGTACATCTGTGTTTTAGGACATTAATCTGGAAGCCATGCATAAGCTATATGGGAGGGCAAAAGAGAAAAGGAATAGCGAGGAGACCAGTTAGTTGAAATTCAAAACCAGAATTAGAAATTCAGAGTAGAAATAGAAAGGAAAAATAATCCCAACACTGGGTCTCAATGTCACATGCTGATTTATAATTCTCAATAGACTATTTACTAAGGCTTAACATATTCTCAATAGCTCTTTCTTGTCTTTGATGTATGTTTGTAACCACATATGAGTATATGTGTAGGTCATTTAGAAAATAAATAACTAAAGCTACATTTCTAAATCATTCATTTGACTCTGACAGTGAATCTGTGTTCCCACTGCCATGGTAAATTAACTGGAAATGTAAAGTTCATGGTCTGACTCCAGAAGACAGCCGTATTAGGGACCTAGTTCCATTGTGAACGGCACTGTACCCTGACTTTATATGACACCATAGATTTAAAATTTGAGATTTTTGGTTTACTATTACTGAAATAACCTCCTATCCTGTGCATATGCCTCCAGTCTGATTCTCTTAAATATAACTTTCTTAATTTGGTAGAAACAGTTTTTCCAAAATGCAAGTATGAATATGTTACTCCATCTAGAGCACCCACAGTTTCAAAGATAAAGTCCAAACAAGGGCCTCCGTGGCCAGCACATTCTTATTTCCCCTCCCCAATGCATGCCCTTCACAGCAGCCATGCTGAAGGCCTAGTAATCTCCCAACAGCATGTGCTGTTTCACAACCCCATGTCTGTACATTAGGGTTCCCACTCCCTGGAACACACTTTCACCCTTCTCCACTTGGCTAACTTTTACCCTTCTTTGAAGCAAAAGTTGGATTCATCACCCTTGGGAAGCCCTGTTTTACCTCCCAGTCTGGATTAGCTGGCCTTTCTCTACACATACCATTTTGTACTTACTGCACTGTGTACCAGCTTATTGGTCTAACGCAGTGCTATCAAAATAGGACTTGCCACAGCGGTGGCAGTGTTCTCTATCTACATTGCCTAAGGGCTCTTGAGTACTTGAAATGTAATTGATATGACTAAGGAACTGAATTTTAAGTTTTATCTAATTATAATTAATTAAAGTATGATAATTATGTTATATGTGTTGTGCATTTTATTGTATGTACCTCAATAAAAAAAGAAAAAATAATAAATTGCTACATGTAGGCACCATATTGGACAGCATAAGTCTAGACTGAAGTTCTTGAAAGCCATCTCTGTTTTCCTAGACCCTGGCACAGTGCCTGACATATAATAGAAGCTAAATGAGTACTTGATGAATGATTGAATAAATGAATGAATGAATATCTTGCCTAGTATTTAGATAAGGATGCTAAAAACTGTCTATGCTTTAAACATATTCTCCTAATCAAATAGAAGTAATTTTGATTAAATAAATACATACTCCATCAATTATTCATTCATAAATCTTTATTGAGCAAGTCCCAGATAGAAATTGTAGTGCTGATTTTACCAATGCGTGACTCTGTATCCTTGAACATTTACTTGACCTCTGTGAGACCTCAATTTCTCCTGCAAACAGAGACATTTGTGCTAGATTTATGGTTCTGAATTTCTTAGGAGACTCCATGTTGAATTTAAGTGCTAAATCCTCTCTCTAAAAACATTTGCATTTAATTCCAAGAGAGTCATAATTTTCCTGAAGTCTGTTTAGGGTAAGACTTCCCATACTAGATGAATCCTAGGGTTCCTTTCATTTCCAGATTCATACTCTGTGCACAACACTGGATTTGGTATTTAGATTGTACCATACAAAACTGCTCTTTTTGTAAAATGAAAATTATTGAACAGCAGTTACATACAATTCATCTAATACAGTGAGGGTAATATAAAGAAGTCCCAGGATCAAATTTGTCATTGTTTAAGGACAAACTGCATGTGCAAAAAGGAAAGTAACTAACCAGAACAGTGTATGGCATACCTCAACTGCAGAACACAGTCAAGAAGAAAGCCACAACTTCAGAGGGGTGATGGGTCAGCTGGGGTCCAGAGGAGAACTCTGCAGTAAAGGTAAGAATTCAGGCAGACTTGAAAGAAGGTAGGACCCAGAAAGATGGAAAGAAAGATAAAGTCCACTTAGGGTGAGGGTGCAAGTGGTGGCAGTGAGGTCAGACCTATGGACCAAGGTGTAACATAATCTTTCTCTTAATATAGATGATGTTTGCTCTCCTTGCATAGGTGGATCTTTGCAACTATGTCTCAGTCAATGGAGCCACTGCTCACCCCCATATTGAAAGTGATGGAACTGTTTACAACATTGGTAATTGCTTTGGGAAGAATTTTTCAATTGCCTACAATATTGTAAAGATCCCTCCATTACAAGCAGGTAAGTTTATCAATCTGACTCTTCTTTAAATAAGTATCTATGTTCTTTATTTTGTATTTATTGAAATATAGGATATCAGATGAGAATATTAGGCTAGCACTATATGAACAGTTAAATTACTCTCAGATTTTAGAATAATTGCCCTCACCGCTACCCTACCAGGGGACCAGTGCCCATGGCATCATAGCTGGAAATGACAACCTGAAAATGCAGAAAACAAGCTGCCCAGTTCTATTTTACAATGTTTCAGAGATGTGGACTTGATCATATAAGATTTAGATTCAAATCCAGCAAACCTAATTGAGTACTTACTCATGTACCAGGCAAGATTAACTTTTTAAACAAGCCATATGTGTGTGTATAATAGCATACACACATGCTATATTATATGAGAGTGTAATAAATATTTTGTGTTTAATTTCTACAACTATATACAAATGCATTAACTCATAGTCATATTATAGAGAATTAAATATTAAAACAGAAGCGAATACTCTTCAGAATTCTCCATTCTTTCTTAATCCATTGCCAGAAATTTGATAACAATCTCAATAATAGAAATATTTTAATATATACAGAATTTTGTTTAGTATTGCTCAGTATAGTTCTCAAAGTGTAGTCCCTGGGCCAGCAGCGTGACTTGGGAACTGTTAGAAATATAAATCTTGAGCCCCACCTGAGGCTGACTTAGTGGGAAGTCCTGGGGATAGGCCTGCAATCAGTATTTTAATAAGCTCTTTATGTGATTCTGATACATGCTAAGGTTTGAAGAACACTGACTTCATAGTAAGTAAACATTAATGTGCTTAAGAATCACCCTACAGGGTAACTAACACAAACTCACATACGTTATACTTTATAGGCATTTTAAGAGATTATAAAGGGCGTTTTGACCATACTGAAGTTTTGCCTTACTCTACTGATTTAGAACCCGCCACCTCTGGTTGTAAGATGTAACTCCACCATGAAATTAAATTTTTTATATTATTGATAAAGGATCCTAGGAACCAATGGTCTGAACTATACATTGAGGAAAAATATTTTTAAAGGATTTTGTAAATGAAAACATTATTATCAGAATAATATCAGGATGCATTTTTCCAAATATGTTGCTATTTGGATTTTCCTGGGTGATTGCAGCTTCCCATGAAATTTCGCTAAGAAATACCAATGACTGAAAAAGTGAAACTAAGCTCTAAAACATAATCAACATCTGAAAATGTATTTCTGTGCTTGTATAAGTTGTTCCAAATGCTTTGTATAAAACAAAAAAAAAGAGGCTGTTCCAAAGCCTTTTAAAACCACTTTATTTCAGACAAGGAAGATCCAATAAGCAAGTCAGAGGTCGTTGTACAATTCCCCTGCAGTGATCGATTCAAGCCATCTTACGTCCATAGGTAACTTGGAGGCCTGCTACAAATCTTCAGAGAAACTCAAGTTTAAAGATCTGCTTTGCCTACCTTTGATACCAATCCTGATCACATTTCCTTGCAGAAACCTAAATTTAAATGTAATTAATTTCACGTAGGCACTGTTGATTCATTTAACTGTGCATAGCTCACATGTACACATCTCCTTGTGAATCAACCCTTTCCATTCACAAGTCCTTTTGTGTCTCTGAACAGTTTTGGTTTGACTCCCAACTATATTGTTTTTGTGGAAACACCAGTCAAAATTAACCTGTTCAAGTTCCTTTCCTCATGGAGTCTTTGGGGCGCAAACTACATGGACTGCTTTGAGTCCAATGAAACCATGGGGGTAAGTTTTATATTTATTTGTCAGGTTTGTGATTCTGAAGAAGTATTTCATAATTCATTCTTATTTTACCTTTTTAAATGATTTAAAATATTTTCCTAATTTTTCAAAGGTTTGGCTTCATATTGCTGACAAAAAAAGGAGAAAGTATGTCAATAATAAATACAGGACCTCTTCTTTCAATCTCTTCCATCACATCAATACCTATGAAGACAATGAATTTCTGATTGTCGATCTCTGTTGCTGGAAAGGGTAAGAAAGGGGATGGAATAAATGTTACATCTCTAGTTGCCCCTGGAAATCAGAAGTCTTCTTCAGAGATGCTGAATTACATCTCAAACAGCAATAAGTGTGCTTAAGTCACAAATTATAATTGAAAAAGCAGTTAGGGAAACTAGGTAATCCAAAATACTCACAAACTGAACATCAAACCA